AATGAGATGACATGGCCTTTCACCTGTGACCCATCTCGAAAGGGTTGACAGATGGTATTCAGGTCTGGATGGTTGGGTTATGGCTATGAAAAGGTTATTGCTGCTTTACAAAAAGATTTAGATTATTTGGTGAGTTGGACAAATAAATAACAGCTAATTAATTACAATAAATGCAAAGTAATTGTGCATTATCATAATTTATAAGTATAATGTTGATCAAAATAACCTTAATATTGTTATGGAAGAAAAGGATCTTGATGTTCTAGTTGATCAGTCTCTTAAACCATCCAAGCAATGTGTTGTGCTAGTGGTAAATAGGATTTTAGGTGGAAATATTGAATACACGTCTAGAGAGTTTCTAATTTCATTGTGCAGTCATTTGGAACACCTTGTTCAGTTTTGGACTCCTAAGAAGAATGCTGAATTGTTGGAAAGGGTTCAGAGCAGGGCTACTAAGATGACACCTGGGATGAAAAGGTTGTCATAAGAAGACAGATTAAGATATCTGAATTGTTTTCTCTTGGAAAAAAAGAAGTAAGAGGAGACCTTACTGAAGTTTTAAGATTAATAAGGGAATTGACAATGTTGATGTTTCATCATTTTTTGTACTTAGCAGTGAGAATGGTATGATCAGGGGCACATATAAATTTTAGCAGGATAGGAGTCATCTTCATATTTATTTTACTAAAAGGATGGTTGGTCTTTGGAATGGGTTGCATTCATATGTGGTGAATATAGTTTGTTTGTTTGTTTTGAATTTTGCGCAAAGCTACACGAGGGCTATCTGTGCTAGCCGTCCCTAATTTAACAGTGTAAGACTAGAGGGAAGGCAGCTTGTCATCACCACCCACCACCAACTCTTGGGCTACTCTTTTACCAACAAATAGTGGGATTGACCGTCACATTATAATGCACCTATGGCTGAAAGGACGAGCACGTTTGGTGTGATGGGGATTCGAATCCACTATCCTCAGATTGCGAGTCGAGCGCCCTAGCCACCTGGCTATGCCGGGCGGTGAATGTAGTAAATTGAAGGGAGTTTAATGCATGGGACAACCTAGTCGATGGACCAACAGGTCCCTTTTGTTCTTACATTTTATGTTAAAGTCACAAGGTAGCTGAATAAGTACATCAAGATAAATTCAACTATGGCAGTATATTTTTCTTCTTTATTAAGAATAACAAGATTCAATACGTAAAAACTAACAGCTCTTGTGCAAAGATGTTAAATTAAATAATAAAACAAACATCAACGTTTTTTTACTTGCACAAACATTTATGTGTTACGTGCACTTCTTGATGGATTCTCCTGAAAATGGTGTTATTATTTACACCAAAACATGTAGTTTTAAGTTTCTTTTAACTTATATATTTTTCATTTCTTAACTTTACAAATAATTGTTCGTGCAAGTAAAAAAAACGTGGATCTTCATTTTATTATTTCATTTAATAATGAGATTCTAGAAACTCATAAATGCTCAAGCCAAGGGTTACAATTTTAACTAATAAGCTACAGTATGGTATTATTAGAAGAATAAAATGTATAATGTATTTTGCCAATTCAGTACCAAGCTGGTGATTCACATAAAATCTAGTTTGCACTTAAGACTCTCCAAAATCCCAGTTTAGTTTTACAGGTGAATGAACTTAATACAGCTCTGGCTTTTCTTTTGCATTTTGGCTTCTTACATTCCAGTCAGTAGCAAATTTGGCTACTGATATGTATTAGCTAGTTAAGATTAAGTTTCATACACACACACACACACGTACATTTACTAAAATTTAAGAAATACATATTAAATGGGCTTCTTTTTTTACAGCAGCAAGATTATGTTCTGCTATTACACTGCATACACTACTGTATTTTATTTTCAAGCCCATTAAAACATACATAGAAATCTTTAATGAAGTTTACTCTGATTTAGGACCCTACATAATTCTATTATGTCAAAAATGAAAAGAAGGTTCCTTGAATATATGAACGACAGGATCCAAATAAACAGTGACAAATATCTTATCTTGTGTTCAATATTAAAGTATTAATCTCAAGTCATATTTCCTATGTTTATCTGGATTAATATAAAACTTATGTACATTCCAAGAGTAATATAATCAAAAGGTGTTGTTTTCAACTAGTTTTGTTTAGTCAAGTTAGTGCTACATATACATCTTCATACGTATATGCAGTTGACAAAATGAAATATATCTATAACTTATACTGTATTTCATTTCCTAGATAACATTTCCGAAATAGTACAGAAGTTTTATATTATACTAACAATGTCTTACTAAACATCAATTAATATAAAAATAAAAGCTACTCTTAATAAATTCTTAATCCTTGAACTTAGTTTTAATGTTTCACTGTACTGCCATGTAATGATGTTCCTTTAAACAACTTAGCCCTAACTTTCCTAAAAGATTACATCCTTCCTTTTGATTATTAAGGAATATTACCCTTATTAATCTTCAAATAACGTGTTCTGGAAGTATCTTACATTAAACTTATCTAGCTACACTAGGTCTAATATAAACTGTAATTGTAAAGTAAATGTAAAGCCTAAACTGAACCAAATATTATTTTAAGATAAATTGATTAAAACAATAAAAGATTATTCGTGAGGTTAGCGACCTCTATTGACCAATAGTTTACTATTTATTTACCGTTTACATGCCTAATAAAAACATTTCAATTGAACAATACGATACACACATCATGCATTTCTTAATAGACAATTAGGCTCAAACACAAGTTCATATAGAAATCCTAATTTTTAATTCTGTTACGTGTAGCTAACCTTTGTTTTGTTAATGTCAGATAAATACTCGACAATAACAATCAATTGAAATTTGAACTAAGTTATGAAATGAAATTACTCAGTCAGCATTTCCGCTTACTATAGAATTGTAATTTAATCAATAAAATACTTTATTTGTTTAAATTGCAAGTCAAAATTATCTAAACTCAAAACTACTTACAAAATCTGCTATATCGCTGACTGATCACTTTTAGATACAAATGAAACAACGCTGTTAAATCCAATCACCTAAGACTTGCGTTTCATACATACAGCCTCCCTTCACCCACCCTCGAAGTCTAGCCGATTTACACCTTTGGTAAATCAATATCACACTCTTTCCAGTATTTATTTTGAAAGCTAACTTACCAGTCTCTTGAAAAATACATACTAAAGTATCACTATAATATTAGATACTAAAAATATTACTTCCGTATTTTTTTACATTCATTTCCTGATAAAATAAGGATCTCAGCGTAGGACTATTTTATTACACTTATGAGACCTTCGAAGCGCTATCTACGTGAAACCCGCTTCTTCTTTCCACAATAATTTGAGCATATACTACAAATTCAAAAACAAAACCACACGATGGTTCTATCATAGACGTATAGTATTGAACGGATTTGTTTTAGAATAATTGCCCCTTTATTTAAGTTAAGCTATTATTATATCTATAGACGTATAGTACTGAGCGGATTTTTTTAGAATATTGCCCTTTTGCTTAAGTTAAACTAATGTAGTATGTATTAGTTCAAAAGGAAAGGCGTAGAAATAAAATAAAGCCATAGTAATATGAACTGACCCCACGACTAAGGTAAACATATATATATTTTGAATATTAAGTTCTTGAATTAAGAAATATTTTATCCCCTCCAGTGTCTTACACTTTAAACCTTGTTGAGTGACAGCCAATGATACCCAGGAAAATGATTAAAACATTTTAAGACTCAACTCAAGGCATTTCTTGTTACGTCTCTAAAGGTGCCGATTTTGTTGTTTTTTTAGCGCAAAGCTACACTATAGGTTATCCGCGCATTATCCACCACAAGAAATAAAACTCCAAATTTTAGTGTTTTAAGTCCGTAAACTTAACGCTGACCTACAGGGGGACGCCTAAAAACAAACAAGACTTGTTGTTAGTAAAGTGGAGACATTTCAGCATACCCTTTTTGTGGTATATTAAGGTAAAAACCGATTTTCCGACAAGTTTCAGGTAGATATACCCACAAATAACAGCAGATTCTATCAAAAATAAAGATTGTGTTCTGTGATAGATAATAACTTGACTGAATTTATTTCAGTGTAAAATAATGATGCTGGACAAAAGTAGGTAAATTAACAAAATATTTCTTATCACAGATAAACAGAAAACACAGTGAGTATACTTGCGCAGACGAGATAACATTCTCTTCTACTAGGCTATTCTTATCTCCACAGCTTTCTTTCCCTTATGGTTAATCTCCGTAGAGACAACAATAACCCAGCTTGCTAATTAGTTGCTATATTACATCTGTAAATGAACCAGTTAAGTATACTTTTTCTTTACTTAGAACCCTATTTGTCACTTAGAAAGAGCAACTGTTATTAACTCTATTTAGCTCTGCACTGCGCCCAAAAGAGGAACTATGAAAAAAAAAACAACAAACAACTTTTAAACTAAAGGTATGGAAAACGTATAGTACGTTCCCGTACTACAGAAATTTTGTGGTTTTCTCGGGTACACTAATTTCGCTTTAAGAATAATCGGGTTTATAATCAAGTTTTTATGGAGTGAATCTGAATTCTTTAGCCTCGACTGGGTTTGAAGCAAAATATAGACTGGATATAATGTACAACACAATGAAACAGTCTTCATTTAACACTCAAAAGCAATCAAAAGTAAACAAGTGTATTTCGTTGTGCCTTTGCTGGAGAACTCTAATATGTCTCAAATTTGAGTCTGAATCTAAATCTCTGAAATCTATATCTATCAGTTTCAGAATAAGAAAACGTAGCATTACATACATGAAAAAATAATGTTATTTTTCTCAGAGCATAGGCGTTACCCACGTGATTGCTGGTTATTCTCATCGCATAATAATGGAAGTTATGTCCATGATGAGTTATCACTTGACCTGCCAGTGCACGACCTGCCCACGAGAAAGTGTATGCGACATTAGTACTAGAGGTAACCAGAGTGAAAGGAATTTAGTTGCTCCCTCGACCAAAGTTCTTTGTTAACATACCAAAGCATCACATTTATGGACAACAATGGGCCTATTAGTCCACTGAGGCTGTCCCTTTCATTTGGGGGGGGGGGCTCAAATTCAGCCTTGATTATTTAAATATTTATCGAACTCCCCTAAAAACTCACTTACATTTACCGTATCCATCATATCTACACACTCATATATAATGTAAAGACAACAAAAGACTTGTTGGTCTATCTAGGTCATCCCATCCACCAATATAAACTTTACAATGAAAATAAATCACACAAAGCCAGTCCTCATCATTTAAACATCTTTCAAGCCTTACATTTACTACATCTGCCACATCTGAAGGCAATCCACTATAAAGGTCACTACCTGATTAGCAAAATAAAGCTCTCTTAGCTGAAGATGACTTCCACCTTGCTAAAATGTATATTTGTGTCCCTTAGTCTTACCATTCTCATCAACACTATCAATAGCTTCCCATTCCTAGTTTGTCCATGATGAAGAAAGGCACATCTTTCGAAAGCGCTCGGATAATAGGTTTTTTTTTATAGTTTCATATCCTTAACATTTAAGACTACATATACAGGGTGTGCAGAAAATTTTAAACACTTTTTAATTAAACAAGAGAGTAAAAATACATATTATCCTGCACACCATAATTTTTCTTTCCAAATAAGCTTCAATGAAGCATACGTGAAATAAAGAAACTAAGTCTTGTGACTGCAAGATGGCTAATATGAACTGACACAAATAAGGCACTTAGGGACTAAAGTGAAATAAAGGGACTAAGCCTTGTGACGGCAAGATGGCTAATATCAACTGACACAAATAAGGCACTTAGGGACTAAAGTGAAATAAAGGGACTAAGCCTTGTGACGGCAAGATGGCTAATATCAACTGACACAAATAAGACACTTAGGGACTAAAGTGAAATAAAGGGATTAAGCCTTGTGACGGCAAGATGGCTAATATTAACTGACACAAATAAGGCACTTAGGGACTAAAGTGAATTAAAGGGAGTAAGCACGAACGTCGAGAGCCAGCACGGGCTCCGGGGCAAAAATCCTCGCCGGGCCCCCTTTCTCTCTCTCTCTTTTTAACATTTTCAAGAATTTTTTAAAAAGAAGATCCAAAATTAGGACAGCAACGAGCTCGTAAACCAGACAAAATCATAGCAGCAGCCGTTTTTACCTCACAGTATAAGCTTAAAAACGTTAATAAAGTAACAACAAATATTTTTTAAATCTATAAAGTAACAAATACATATTAGTTATTATTCAAATTATTATTTCAGTCGTTCTTAATGTATCAAGCGTCTATATGCAAAGAAAAGCCAAAAACTATGGTTTTGATCATTAAATGAAGATATAGCCTAAAGATGCTTTGCAGGCTTTACGGCATAACCAGGTTTCATTCGCCCGGGTCCCTGGGCAGTTGCCCCTTCCTGTCGGCGAGCCTGGGAGTA